AGAAGTTGTATTCTAGACGCGCAGGTTCGATTGTAACCATATGTAAAATTTTGTCATTAATTGTTTAGTCCCTTGAGCAGATTAATCAGTTCCATTGTGCTTCTGCGCGCATTATGTGGCCAGTCAGGCTATAGGTCTTTAATCCATGATATCTTAACACTCCAGACAGTATGGGAATAAAACTTTCTAGGTCTTCGGTCTTGCTCATCGACGCGTGCGGTTTGAATGGTTGAAGTGCATCTTGACCAGCGTGAAAACTGACCATGTCCTCAAAATAAGAGGAAGCTCATAAACTAAATAAATGAAGTAAAAACATTCAAAAGGGAATGCCTATAAATGACTTATGAATTTCGTACCAATTCAGTAAATAGACTCTGGTTGCTCAGTCGGTAGAGCGTCGGATTTAGCACTGAGAGGTCCCATGATCAGGCAGTAGCCGATTCAATCGTGTTTCGTCCTTCTGAGAGTATTAAATGATTACTCTGTTTGAAGGAAACATGGAATTGCAAACTATGCGGTCACGTAGTTGCTGTTTCCTCTGTCTTTAAAATATTTCACTCCTGACTGACAGAATGAAATTGCAGATCAGTCTCAGAAATGGCCCTGTCATGAAAATGTAAGATGGGCTGACATTCCAGTGGTCTTCAAATTTTTCTTCCCTTTTCCTTTCCATCAAATGGGGATGATTTGGCAAATAGTTTCGACTGCGAGGGAAGATCCATAGAATGATTCAACAGACGAATTTATGAACAGAGCAACTTTTCGAACAACGCAGCCTTTGTCCTTGGCCTTGACCAATTTAAGTGATAGGAAATTTTTGCGTTGTCGGAAAGTAAATCTGTAACTTGGTTTTCGACTCATTTTGTTTGTGTCTGACCATTGAATTGGAAAGTTTTTCATACTGGGATAAGTAACAGCTTAGCACGTTGTCGCTGGTATAAGGACTCATCATGTTGGTCTATTCAGTCGAAGGTCTTTCAAGGATATATATTTTGTCCTCCTTTTGAGGATGGTGGCTATAGTTGTGAGGCGCTGTTTTGCAAAGATTATCTAAACATTTCTTATGCGATATCTGACTGACAGTCGCATGCTATTCTTATTTTAAGCAAATAGTAAATACCTGCTTTCGTTCGTCGTAATAAACTGTTTATAAGCTCTCTGACGAACTAATGACCGTAATCTAGGAGTAAGACCCTGGAAGTTTGGCAGCGAATTCTTTTCTAACTGTTATCTCAAATTACTACGCTGAATTTCTTCACCCACTGCCTGTCGAGACACTCTGTTGCACGAACTTGGTAATAAATGTAAAGCGGTGGCGGGTGTCTCATGCCAAAAAGAGCCGGTCTTGCACTTCGTAATTAGATTCGCGTTTCCTAGTGCCGTTAGCAAGGATTACGACATAGCTGGTAGATTACCTTGGATCCCTGAAATTCTGGATTATTGGAATTACGACTTAATTACTCCAAATATTGTTTATTGTGTACGCTATGTTGCAACAATGTGTTATCACTCTATCGTGATATACAGCTATCTCTTGATCCATGGCTATATTTGTGCTTCCGAGAATGGATTTTGCGCATTCCAACCCAAAGCCTGAGCTTTTACATAGGCTCAAGTTGAATTTAGTAATTTGGATAAATATATTTTGAACAAATATGATGAGCATCTGATCCAGTTGAAAATTGTAACTCTTAATGATCAGTTTTTTCAGTATTGTTTAATTATTTGATGACGGTGTTTCGACTGATCAAAGGTCAATTGAAGTTTTGTTATATTTAAAGTTACTGTCGTAAACAACAACAGTGTGAATTAGTTTATATTCACATCAATAACGAAAGTGTTTTTGAGGACTGAATGTAATTTTTTTAAGGCCCTGTTTATTCAGTGCTTAGAGGTGACAAGTTGTTCTTTGTCTTAGTAATTTGAACCACAAGCGAATGAACGAACTGAATAGCAAGCAAACGTTTCGGTCGACCAATGTGACAGATAGCATCGTTACAATAGTCTGTTACTTCCGACTTTTATTAAAGTCCTTGACTCATTTTGCTTCTATTCGTTGAATAGAACGGCAGTCGTTTTTTCTCTTTCCATTTAGTTACATATTGTTCTCTTTGTTTTTTATATTTGAAACTTTCAGTACCCTGACACCGACCAGTTCAAAAACCTGATCACGAGTACTCACGAACAGTGTGCCCGTATCATACGAATTATTGAAGATAATTATCATATCCGTCGCGATAACAAGGATTTGGAAGATCAGGTATTAATTCAGTTTTTATGGTGAGGTTATGATGCAACCTGTATGCTAGTGTTAGTTTAAACATTATGCTGTAAATTTGATGCTACAAACAGCGTTACTTTAAAAGTTACAAATATCAGCTCATTCCTGAATAATCGAGAATGGTAGAACGAAAACTACTTATGGTACACGCTGTTAAGAGAATGTGAATTCAGTTTAATTTCGTAATCATTATTTCAGCATAAGGACTTTGGTCATGACCTCGAACAAAAATATAAATGATAACCCTCCTTCTTCATTCCATAGTAATAGCATATTATTTTCATGAGAGATTTGTCCTCATTTGAATCGGTGATCTAAAGTTTCAATTACAACACAGATCAGTGGACAGAAAGTATGTCATTCCGTCCGTCGTTTATACTGATATTTAGGCTTTCATTTTTTTTCCAAAAACATTGATCTCAAATAATACTTCAGGTTTTTAATTCTGGACCCATAGTTATGTAGAAATGCGCTGCTTCAGTGATTCACGGTACAGGGCACGAAGTACAACAGATGGTAAAAAAGTTCGTTTTCGACATGTTTCGATTCACAGACTGCAGCATCATCAGGGCTAGGTTAAATGCAAATTAATATTTGTAGACACTTATGTCCAAATTGCTAAAAATAAATTACAGTCAAAATGTTGCTGAACTGACCAGTCTGATTGGTAACTTAGAAAGTGTGGAGTTCTCATTGAAACAATCGGATCATTGTTGTGTAAACACGTTTTATCTTATCAGTTTTGCAGTCGTTCTCCGGCTCTCACTGATAACCACAGAAGATGAACATTCATTGCACATCCGGTGTTTCCTTGCCAGCATATGCAAAGACACCTGTATCACGCGACCTAACTTACATTGTCTTTGTCTAAAACATGCACATTGCTCTGAATTTATAATTGAATGAAAGAATTTCCTACAGTAGTAGCATGCTAGGCAATACCGGAATTGTCAGCGTGTGCAAAGCGAGCCGCAGAATGGTACTTTTTATCCGGATGTTCAGTTTCCGGTTCTTTCCAATGTGCATCTTGTCGCAGTCCCTGCACTGTACTTTGTATGCAACATTGAACACATCTTGAAAGTTCTTAATGACAAGTACCTTTTAAATAAGATGTCACCCAGAGTTATGCCAGTCTTATAGTAGACTCTGCACCTCTTCATTGTCCTGATGGGTTGATATACCTGGGGCATGAACGGTAAGTGAACCATTGGTCCATTCGAACTGACCGTGTTTAAGTTTCAGCTAGGGTGCAAAAGTTTTTCGTAAAGGAACTTTCTTCGGTAACTGTTCTTTGGAAACGCTTGGTGAAGATGTTGGATTTCTGCGTTTCGGTTTGAGGTGTTAATGCAGGTTTCCTGAGCTCGCAGACGCATGTTTTTCACACGTTCCTAAGTAATCCAGGGTGGGCACGTAGATGGGTGTAGGTATCGATTGGAGTATGTTGGTTTCCGATATACAAAAAACTTAAATTCAAACGATGGCGTCTTCTTCACCAGCGCGTCCAGAAAGGATAAAGAGTCGTTAACTTCCACTTTAGTAGTAAAGCGTATATGGCCATTTTTACCTTGTCCATTTATGTAATTCATGAAGCATTACAACCTTTCCAGTTGGAATAACAGGAAAAATCATTAGCGAATAGGTCATAGAAGAGCGGTCAGAATTTTGCCGGGTATTCATTAAGGACCTTCACCTCCTCGTAGTCCATATAAAGATCAGCTAAAACAACACTCACCGTGGAGCCCATCGCAGAGCCGCACGTCTGGAGGTAGGTAGTGTTCGCGAATTTGAAAGTGATGCCATTCATCACAAGGCCGAAGATTGTCATTAAATCATCCACGCTGCACTTCCTTAACATACTTTCAGATGTTCTTCAAGATGTCTGGTAAGATATTATACAGAGTGTTAGTAATCACATTATTTCAAATGCAATGACGTCTAGCGAAGCCAAGAAGCAGTCTTGAATATCATATTCCTTCAGCGCGTATAGAAACTCTTTTCTCTGTTTTACTCTGTAAGTCATTCCGTTAATGGCAGCTTTCAGTAATCGATCAAGTTCTTTGGCAGTAGGGTATGTTATTGCTACCCTAGTCGATATGATAACACGCGGAGGGTTGCCAGGCTTGTGTAGTTTTACTAATCCATAAGGTCTTGAAATTATACAGAAGTCAATACTAGACAGGATCCTTTGTACACCTTCTTCGGTAGCGACCTTCCTATTTTGCAAATTCCTTAGAATCTCTAACAGTTTCTGGCGCGTTGTCTTGTCAGGGTTGGCATTGCTTCGGAGTTTTTTCTACATATCGCTGTTCTTGGAATGATCCAACATTTCAGCTTCATATTTATTAATGGGCATCACAGCTGCTTTCGCCTTTCGCTCCTTTGTCAGCGCAGAGGACCATTATGTTGTTATCCTGTAAATTTTTCTTCAGTCCTTTAATGGCCAAACCATGGCAGGCAGCCAGGTTCAGACGAGATTTATGTATGTTGTTGCAGACAATAAGGCCAACGCTAGAGTGATTTCTTTCTTGAGATTTTCAGTTTTTCACAGGAGTGAAGGAGACCTTTCTCTACACCAACCACTATGTCAGATACGGAAGTAGTAGAGTTGGCAATGCCTAATTGAGGTTCCAGCGCAAATATCTGTCGTTCAATTTCTATAAATGTAATGTTGCTCATATTTACCATTGGGCTGTCAGGGAAATTTCTCAGATATGTCAACGTATCGGGAGGTACTTTAGTGATAAGGGATTTAAGGTTTACTAGAGGACTGGTAGAACATTGGTCGACATTTTATTTACAAGCAGACTGGGATAAGTTATACATTAGAAAGATCAATCGGAAATGGAACATGAGGATAATAGAGCATCTTTCTGTGGTTCGCTTTGGACAGGCTGGCAATATGTTTTGCCAAACATGTGACTGAGGGGCCTTTTTCATCCAGAGCATTGTGTCTGTTATAGACAAAGGTCAATCTAAATTAGGTCTGGTGATAAGGGAGTCCTTACCTATGCTGGCAATGAAAAGCTGGCCGTGCAACGAATGTTCATCTTCTGTGGTTAGCAGTGAAAGCTGGAGGACGATTACAAAATTGATACGATAAATTATCTTTGCAGAACAACGATCCGATTGTTTTAATGGAAAATTCGCACTGTTTCTATGTTAACACTTGGGCTGGTTAGCATAGTAACATTTTGATTGTAAAGTGTTGTTCGCCTTTTTTACATAAGTATTTTCATGCAGTGATTTGCAGTTAGCCTAGCCCTGATGATGCTACTGTATATGTAGCGAAACGCGTTGGCAATAAATTGTTTTACCATTTGTTGTATTTGGTGCCCTGAACCATGAACCATTCAGACGCCTCTCTATAGAACCAAATACTGTTTTTTTCGGTACTCGAAAAGTACAGGTTGGATAGAGCAAGTATTGTAGGGCAAGCTTGTTGAGTAGAATCGTCATTGAGAACAGTTCGGCAAACTTGTAAATATTCTTATTTGTTTCCTCCGGATTCATACGACTTAGTCTCACCGCCTTCTTGTTTGTAGTAGCCTTTGAAATCGCTGACAGAAAACAACTCCGTTGCACTTTGGTAGTTGCAGTGTATAGGTGTAAAATTGAAGCTTGCATAGAGCCGGTAAACACGTAACAATGGGACTTAGTTGTTATGCATATATGTGATACAAAGTAATTAGGTGTGAATGCTGACACTACCATTGCTACTGTTACTACAATACTGCCATTACTGTTCAATGGGCCGATTTCTGTTCAACATTTTGTCCTATGCAACACCGATATCTATATCTTTTACTAAAATATAAAATATTCTCTGCCGTCTAAAGTAACTTAGCTATTGTTCTTTGAAAGTGCTCGTATTTAACTTCAGCTTGTATATCACTTAACCCATTATTCTGTCGTTGACTTGTTTTGTCATAATCTTTGGCCACGGTTGCGATTCGGAATGTGTGCTCATTCAACATTTCGCATTCTGATGTTTGGAAGTATTTGCCTCATCGTAGAGAGTTAAGCTTGTGTGCCCAGTTGTTATATGGATGCTGTTTTACTTGCTTATTTTGTTCCTCATGCTAATTACTTTTATGTATAATGCATGATGTTATGATGGATGTATAGTATTATAATTTTTCAGTTGCTGCATGAACTATATCATCAGTGATATGAACACCACTTCAGCTCTAACAATCTAATAAAGCTTAAGAAATTGCAGTACTCTTCCTGAAATCTTGACGGTATATACAAGAATCATTTTCTGCAGCTCATCTACCTTAATCGCATCATCAGTTGACTTTAGTAGGCACTGACGGTCTTTGTCCGCTGCTCTAATTTCTGTCTGTCTGCAGAAATGACTTTTGCATGCCCTCTGCAGATTTTTTGTGTTTCCATCCTCAGTTCTTGATATTTCAGTATCTTTTCTTCCTCTTTGGCAACAACATTGCCATCAGCCATGCATGCTGTGTCAATGATTTGTCTTTTCTTGTCTTCACTTTTTCGCTTTGTTTATCACCATGATAAACAGACGATGAGCAGGTGTTTTTTCGCTTCATATCGGGAATTCCTAGAGCATTTTCACTTGCTCAGCCTCTTCCACTATTGTCGGTTAATGTCTACGGTATTGCTTGTCACTGGTAACTCGGCTCTCTTGCACAAGTACCAATGAGTTACCCTTGCAACGTTGTTGTGCTTTTCCTTGTATTCTTGATTCGGGCGTTTCGCGACCTGAAGTTACATTGCTCACAATCTCATCCTTCACTTGACACACTCTGCACTGTACTTCTGACTGCGGGTGCAGGATATTCGTTTTTTATGAGTTTGTATTCAGTTCTTGGTTTTGAGCGGATATTAGACGGGCTTCCGTTTCTTTATGGAGTCCATCAAGACTGGACTAGTTGAATGTCTGGTGGATACGTATGTCTTCACCAGGTTGGAGAAGTTAGTGACCATGAAGCTCTTTATTCTTCAACGATTATATCAGGCATTCTCGATATTTTCCTAGTGATCTTCATTATTTCCAGATGTTTTCTATTTTGATACACATAGACCATTAATTTTCATGGTCCTTAGAATCCTGTCGATTCACTGCCCTAGCCGCATATTGCCCCAGGGATGATGATGTCTATGATGTCTCTAGTTCCAGCGTATCTTTGATACTACGAAACGATTTTTCTCATTCTTTGAGCGGGACATGTATTCTATCCGTATCTGCTGTTGGATATACCATCCGTACGTGTTCAGCATCTTTCGTATCTTTTTATTCAGTTATAGTATGACGGATTGCGTCCACTCGTCGATGCCTTTTATCTGAACCAGCACTTGTGTCGCATATTTGTTAACGACCAAGATTATGTTGTTCCCACAATTTCTCTTCAGAATTCAGCGGATTCTCTTCTCATATTCTGTCTTTATCGTTAATTTCATTTCTTCAAATAATATATTGTCTAATTTTGGTACGCTAAGGTATTTATGGGACGGTTCTTCTTCCAAGCTGTTTTTTGTAAGAATCGATGGCACCAGTTCGTTGCTTTTCCAAATCTTTTCGTTCTTATTCTGGACCATGGCACATTTATACAAACAGAATTCAATGCTGATATCGTCCATCAAGATTCGTGCGCTTTGAATCTGATTATCTGACTCGTTTACTGATCTCGCGTACATCTTCAGGCCATCCATGTTCAACCATTGTGATATTACACTGCCGTCTTTAAACATATTTCCTTTCCCGGTGTTATTTGGAAGGTAACTGAGCGTATTCAATGCTAGTCAAAATAGAAGCCCTGAAACCGTGGTAGATTCCTCGCTTGATGTTCACCGATCCCAGGGATACTTTGTTGCATTGCTGTATTGTTCGCCACTGTTTCATGTCTGCTTTCAAGAACTCTGTTAGGCTGTTGTCGAAGTTGCAGATTATCAGAGAATCCAGGATCCAGCTGTGTTAGAAGATTAAGTGCCTTCATGTCCATGTTTGTCTTTCTCATTTTTCAGTTCTGATGCTCACCAGAAACGAGAAACTGGACCTTAGATCCCCTTGATTTCGTCCGGCACACGTTTTGATTGGTAGGTTTGAGGTTGTTCGCTTCGAAAAGCTCATTAACTGCATGGACTGATATAGAATTCAGACAGATATTTCCTCGTAATTCGAAGGCTTCCTGTAACTAATCACGTGTCCGTAACCCGTGTCCTTGTTATTCAAGACGGGGTATATCACGCCTTCCGTTAATCAAGAAGGTGATAGTTTTTCTGCGCTCTCTGCAAACATACTGCTTTTCGTGAGCGCAGATACATTAGCTGTTTAAGCCACTGTGCAAGTACCTGAATCGAGTCTGGTGCTGCCCTGTTTTTCTTCCCTTTGGAAGCCTCGCACGCATTCTTTTTGGTGATTGCAGCCTCTTTTTGTTTGGTGATTCCATTTGGAATTTTTGTATTTCTTTTATCATTTAGCTTCTCTGTTGTGGCCTTTGCATTTTCCCATATCATTCTCCAGAAGCGATTCCGCTGCGGTTGTAACAAGTAGTCTCCTCATCATTTGTGGGCTTGTTCTTTGTCTCCAGTTTTCTAGAAAAGTCTTTTAACTGTTAAGCTAAAGTCCTGTACTGTTTGTACCCATCGATATATCCGAAGCTTTGCCGATACTGCTAACAACCGCTGCTTCGCGTACTAGATGCAGCTCCGACTGTTTTGTCTGGTCCGTTGCTGTACTTTTTCATTATGTTCGTCTTTGTTTCCGTTATGTTGTCCTATTCAGTTATTTAGCTGGTTTACTTCTCGAAGCATTTCTTCCTGGTTGTTCTTGATTCTTCTTGACCATGGTGGCTGGTGCGTTTCCTCTTCTCTAATTTGTTTCCAACTTAACGCATAGTTTCTTGGTTATCACAAGAGCTGTCGCATACATGACACCATTGATGAATCTCAAAATACTAGTTGGTATCGTTTCCAGAGCGCTCTTAGCTTGGCTGTTATATTCACGCAGCTGTTTTTTGCCCTCATAAAAGAGATGCGTCTCCTAGGTTTTTCAAGCGGTTCGAATTCCTGAAGGATCTCGTCCCATCGCTATTTGTTTTTGTCATTCAGCTGGATAACTTTTGTCATATCAGCCATTTGAATCTCTGGTCTCTTCGGTGTGTCCGCGATGATTTCACTAATATATTGAATTGATTGATCCTCTTGAGCAATGTTGTCACTATCAAGTGCTCCTCTGATGTCATCCAACTCAAATTTTTTCTGTCAGTATGTTCTACTCAATGAATCATTCGTGATTCCCTCGACTCTGCTCGCTTGCATAACGAAGGGAGTAGACCATACTCCATTTTCTGCTATTCTTTTTCGACAAGCCCTGTCGTTCTTCACGGCAGTGTATTTTCTTCCTGCGATCACTGCTTGCGTACTCTTCACCATTCGGTTACGCCCCAGACGCAGAAAGACGTGTCAGGTTCTGTTCATAGACTACCTTAGTTTTCCAACAGCCT